CCTGCCCCCCAAAGTTGCCATGAGTATAAAATGAGATTATTTGCAAACCTGAAAAGTGCTTTGTTAGTTATTGCTATTGCTGTTGTTATTGTCATTATTATCATTATTAATATTAGCCTGAGTATATCATCCAACAGGTTAGCTATTCCTTCCACTAATATAGTTATAAAAATAGAAATGACTCAAAATGTGAAAAGAAGATATATCTCTTTTGATGACCATGGAGGTAAGCTACATCTAGGTGGCACAGTGGATTGGAGTCAGGCAGACCAGAATTCCAATCCTGCCTCAGACACAAGAAAGTCAGCCTGTTTTCTCATCTGTTAAATGGGGATAACTCACAAGGTTGTTGTCAGGGTCATATGAGATATCACATAAAGCATTGAACAAATCTTCGAGCACTATATAAATTCTAACTCTTATTATCACATGTTTGTTGGAGAGAATAACATACCACTGGAATGAAGCTCCACCAACTATTTAATCATATTAACTTCTCAACATACTCCTGTAATACTTTGTTTTCATTCTCTTTCAATCCTAAAATATAGTATAATACCCTGTCTTGTTGTGAAGTTAAGCAGATATTATTTTTACTTCTGACTCCTCTTTCCAAATTCCCATCAGAAAAAATCTATCAACAGACTTTTAGCTACTCTGCAGGATTCTTTGCTTGCGTAATTCATAGAAAGGGTGATTTCAAACTTTCTTCCTAGTATGTGATTTATTGGCGTCATTAGAGGAAGGGACTTGCTTGGATTCCTTGTATGCATTTGTTTTTCAAGTGGACCTAAAAGTTCTTACTTTAACATTTACCCAGACAGATAAATACTTAGAATTTTATTACTAATTCTCTGTTGGTTTGTTAAGTGACTTGACTTATCTCAGTTTTGCTGATTCATAATAGTAAAAATGGAAGAAAAAGAGAATGAGCTCTTTTAGAGGAATAAATGTTATCTCTGACTTGGGTTTTCCTGAATTAATTAAAGATAGATACTGAAAATTATTGTTATAAAATCAGTTACCAGCTTCCTTTCATCACTTAGTATGTGCTTGTTTTTATTCTAAGATAAAATTATTACAAAATAAAGGCAAATGGATGATAATGACTATGTTTCTTTCTATGTATACATGTGTGTATGTGTATATAAATGTGTATATAATACATGATTTTATATATAATATATGTTATAGATATATAAAATGTATGATTATATATAATATATGGTTTATATATAATGTGTTATTATATATGATGCATGGTATTAAAAATGTATGATTATAAGGCAGCTAGGTGGCACAGTGGATAGACCATGAGGCTAGGAACCATGAAGACTCATCTTCCTGAATTCAGATTCAGCCTCAGATACTAACTGTGTGACCCTGGGCAAGTCACTTAACTCTGTTAGCCTTATTACCTCATCTATAAAATGAGCTAGAGAAGGAAAAGGCAAACCACTCCAGTATTTCTGTGTGAATATGTGTATGTACATATACATATATATTGATTGTCCTTTGGTCTTTTTCACTTAATCTCCATTTCTGATTGATTGGTTCCACCTTGGTTTTTTTGTTTGTTTTGTGTTTTGTGTTTTTTTTTTTATTTGATGCACTGTGTAGCATGGGACAGGGTGGCTGATTTCAAGTCAAAAGGACCTAAGTTCAAATCTAGGTCTCGCACTTTCAACCTTTGTGACCTTAGACAAATCACAACTTTTCTGGGCCTCAATATCCTGATATGTAAAATGAGGAAATTGTTCTGGAATTTGGAGGTTCTTAATGTGGAATCAATAAACTAGGGGTTTTTTAAATATTTTTATAATTTTGGTTTCAATATATTTGCTTCCTTTATAATCCTATGTATTTTATTTTATGAATGTAAGAATATTATTCTGAGGAGGACTCTATAGGCTTCACCAGACAGTCAAGGGAGTCCATGCCAGAAGAAGTTAAGAACTGGACTAGATGGACCTCAAAGTTCCCTTCCAGCCTTAAATGTATGATCCTAAAAACTTGGTTTCTCGTGTCTTTGGGGTATATAGAAAACCTTACAAATGCTAGCTCTCTGTCCTTGCAAAAAATGCAATGTCTCTTCTCAGTCTATAACTGCAGTTCTCTAATTACATATTGCCAAAGAAAATAATCTAAATATGTATTTTATTATTTAAAGTACTGCCATGACTAGGACTATCTAACGATAACTATTACAATATCAACAACAACTGGTAATGATTATGATCATGATGTCATTTCCTTGTTGCCAAGCCTCAGGTAAGAGCATCTTTCATAAAACTTTTTGAAAAGAAAAAGGAAGACAGTATAGGGCAGTGGAAAGAAAGTTGGAGTCAGAGAAGCTGGCTGAATCCCACATCTGCTGGCTCCTTCTTTTGTGACCTTAGGAGGCTTTCTCCTCTCTGAGTCTTATGAGAAATGGGAAGGTTGGACTGCGTAGCCTCCTGAGGTCCTTTCCAGCTCTAAATCTATAATCTTAGAAGTTAAGTCATTTTGTCTAGTTCAGGATGCTATTCCTGAGGTTCCTTTTGAAGTATCATTTGGGGCAGCATCATACATGATTTTTAATCTGACGTTAGAAGATATGGGTTTGAGTTATGCTTCCAGAAGGAATCCCCATATGATTTTTGGGGAAGTCATTTAACTTCTCCAGATCTCAGCTATCATCTATACATGAGAGGTAGCTAACCGTCAAGGCCCATTCCAACTTTAAACTCGTATTATTATAATATGTTTTGTTGTCTTCATTAATTTGCAGTTTTAAGCATTTTATGTTCTTCATAAAGAAATAAGCATTTACTAAGCAACTACCATGTGTCAGGCACTATGTGAAATGTTTTATAAGTATTATCTTAGTTGATCATCCAAAAAATCCAGGGAAGTAGGTACTATTATTATGCCCATTTTATAATTGAGAAAATTAAGGCAAATAGCAGCTAAATGTCTTGGCCAGGCTCATTGTGCCACCTGGCTGCCCTTTATATATACCAGGCATATACATACATACATACATATATGTACATATACACATATACACATATAAAACTCTTGCATATCAGATGAATATCACCTTATGCTTAATTATATATTCAGTTGTCATCTGCTTAGGCAGCTAGATGGCACAGTGGATAGATCTCTGGGCCTGGAATCAGGAAGATCTGAATTCAAATCCAGTCTCAGATACTTACAAGCTGTGTGACCCTGGGCAAATCACAACCTCAGTCTGCCTCAGTTTCCTCAACTATAAAATAAGGATAATAAAAGCACCTATCTCCCAGGGTTGTTGTGAGGATCAAATGAGATATTTCTAAAGTACTTAGCACAGTGCCTAGGACACAGTAGGCAATATATAAATATTAGCTATTATAAAATAAAGATTAAAAAAATTCTTAGAAAGAAATCAGAAGCAAATGTAAAAACTGAACTGTAAATCTTTTTTTAAAAAAAGTTTCCCTCCTTAAATTAATATGTGAGAATTATAAAATCATGTGACCTTAAAGTCTGGGATTATTTGATTAAAGAGAAAAGAGATTGAAATAAGTGAAATAATTTCCTCAAGATCATGTGGCCAGTTAATATTAGGGATAAAACTAGAAGGCAAATCTCCTATTTCCTGGGCCATTGTTTTCCTCTATATAATACTGCCAATCGAAAGGAGTTGTTTATATTATAGCATTTTAATTTAAAGCCAAATTTTCAAATGTAGGCAAATTTGTTGGATATTTGTATATATTGGTTTCTATTCACCTCTGTGTATGTATGTATGTATGTATGTGTATATATGTGTGTGTGTGTGTGTATTGTGCATGTGTGATATGTTCTAAATGATTATCTTGTTGAGAATTTGTAATGATTTTGGTTTCTTTTATTCTTTCTTTAAAAAAAAAAAGATTATTCAAGTTTTGGAAAGGAAGTACCTGCAAAGCAGAATGAGAAAATCTGTCCATAACTATGGAAAATAATTCATTAAAACATGGCACCCAGTATAATGGTTTTTTTATTTTTTTTTAAAAATTCTGAATTCCAGACATTCTCTCCATTAAACGAACTGTACTATATAATTTTAAGTACTACTTTTATATAGAATATTACACAAAATGCTATGCGCTCAGAAAGGAACAAAAGTTAAGACAGTACCTTCTTTGAAGAGTTTCTAACAGTTTAGTTGAGGACAAAGAATAATGTTTTGGGAAAATGTAAAATGTAAACACCCTGAGGTTTTGTACTATTTTATTCTTATATTTAATATCTAGAACCTAGCATGATACCTGGTACATAGTAGGTGTTTAATACATACCTGTTGATAAACATAAAAAGGAAAATGAGAATGTTTAGAAGGAGCATGCAATCATGTAGATATTAGAATACTAACTAAATCCATAGATACTGAAGGGGCCTGAATATAAGGCATGATCAGAATAGGATTGAAAAAATTATTAATATCCTCAAATGACAAAAAGGAAAGTAAGAATTGCTATGTTGGGTAAACCTTAATCAGTTCATGAATTTCAATTCTATGCTCTCTAAGCTTTCATCTTTCCAGACTGAAGTCTCTTAATCTACCAAGTTTATCTTCAAATGTCATCTCCCATGCCTTTGATCATTTACTCTCCAATGAAATTGTGGTATTCATCCATATAAAATTAGAAGCCAAATGTTGAGACCCTACCATGTTTTTGCCCTTGGTCCCCTCAGCCATTTCCAGATAAAGTTTGATCCTATAACCTTTCATGCTTCAATTAAACTGACCACAATCTTTAGGTTATCAGTTACAAGAAAAACAAATGTTTGTGACAAATTCTGGAGAGGCTGGTAAGTCATATGCACACAGTGGGTCTATTCAAGTCACAAGGAACTCTTCTAGAGCAATGTCTGACATCTTTAAATTTGAATCCAGTAAATACTTTTCAATGATAATTTTATATGGTTAAAAAATCTGAAATCAATATTACCACAAACCTGCTATTTTGTTTTGTTTTTTCTTATAGGATTTCCAGCAGTGTTTGTTGTGGCTTGGACAGTGGTACGAGCAATGGTAGCAGATGAGAGTTAAGTGTGAAAAAAAGGGGAGGGGGGGAAGAGTGTAGTCTTTTCACCAGATATATCCTTTAACACTTAAGGGCATCTGGATCTTGTTAATGGGGGAACTAACTTTATGAATGCAAAAACAACCTTTCTGTTCTTGTTCATTAGATGCTCTGCAGACTAGGTCTTGTTACATGAAACAGACACATATTGATAAACCTCAGTTTCTTCAGCTAGTAAAGGGAAACTGAACATATTTAAACTAGCTAGTTAGTATCTAGTAGTAGCTATATATGTGTGTGTGTATATATGTGCGTCTGTGTGTGTGTATATGTGTACATACATACATACAAATAACACATATATATTTAGCACCACAATGGAAAGAATTATATTGTTTTGAACTGTTAATTTTTTTCTAAAGTTCATAGTCCCCATGTATGTAATCCATGGAAAAGATGATGTTTGAGGCTCTTTTCAACTCTAAGACATGATAATTCCTTTTTTCTTTTTTTTTTTTTTGGCTAGGCAATGGGGTGAAGTGACTTGCCCAGGGTCACACAGCTAGTTAGTGTTATGTGTCTGAGGCCACATTTGAACTCAGGTCCTCCTGAATCCAGGGCTGGTGTTCCATTCACTGCACCACCTAGCTGCCCCGATTATTCCTTATTTTTTTTATAAAAGAAAGCATTTTGTGAAGTTTTTAATAACAAATGTAACAAAATAAACAATATTCTGAAAGTTTTAATAACAATAAGTACTATTACGGTATAGCAGGTGATGTCATTAAAAAGCAAAGTGGCCCCTTTCTATTCAGTTTTCCCTTAATAATTCAGCCTACATGCTCCCTTTTCTAACTTCAATAGCACTTGGCTATGAAGGATCTAACAGTGTAGTTAGTCAGGAAATTAGCAATTGTTGAAGTCTAATCCTTCCATATTAAAAGGAAAAAAAGTTTGAGAACCTTCCTTCTAAATTGTATAGTACTAAAAACAAACTGGAAAATCTTAACAGTTGAAAGACAGTAGAGGGGCACTGTACTTGTGACTGTTACCAGGTATCTTCTGTCAGATTGCTGGTCACTGGGTGAAATAATTTTAATTGGCTTCAGGTGAACTTTGTGAAGACCCTGTCTTCCCACTTCCACACCACCCCATGTCCGCATTTGTGAATATTTCCCTCTAGGGGATGAATGATGGATGAACACTGAATTGTTCATTTTTCGTTTTATTTCTGGGGCTGAGTAATGATGAGTCAAACAAGAAAAGAAAATTCTATCTGGTGCATGTAGGTTGCTGTTTTTTTCAAACTCATTAAGAAAAAAAGAAATCTATGAGGGTAGTTTTAAATGAGATGGGTTAGCTATTAGTGTATTTAACCTTCGGTGCCATGTCAAAAGCACAGAATATAATTAATCATCTGTACATCCTGTACATTTTGATATTTATATTATAGTTCTTTAACTTTTAGATTCTGGAAGTAAAATCTAATTTCTGGATTAACTTAAATTCAGTTATTATTTATTAGTTGTGCACAGAGTATCGTGAAAGACGCTGGGAGAGAAACAAAGTTTACATAAGAGAAAGTTCCTACCCTATTCGGAGCTTACTGTCCAATAGGAAGATCAGACACATAAGTAACTAAACTAAGGGGGGAAAGTAGTAAGTCAACATAAAATATGAAAGTGTTAGGTGGGGCCAAAGCAAAAGGTAATTGCCCCATTGGTGAAGATCAGAGAGAGCTTCACGCAGAGGGTTACATTTGAGCTTAACCTTTGAACTTGCCGTAGTTAAAGTTGAGCCTGAAATTTGCAATAGTAGCTGCAATGACCATTCTTTGAATTGATGATCCCATTAAGTTCCATCCAAAAATTCAAGATGCTTTTACAAAAGGAGGTCGTAAAGATTCAGTTCATGCTAGAGCTACGGAAGATTGACCTAGTTTTCTTTTTGCACAACAATGTCACTAACTTTGTCACTAACAATGTCATTAATTTCATCCTGTATCACTTTTGTCTTGCCCTGGTTTGTACACATAATAAAAATAAGATAACCTATCAAGATAAAAAAAAAGAAATAAAATGACAGATGGGATTACAAAAGTTTAGGTAAATGATGTGAGGAAAAGCCTAAGTACTCATTACAATTATAAGGAAGGGTATACATAAAGGCATAGAGCAAAAAAGTCACAAGACCTATATAAATAGTTCAGCTTAACTGAAGAATGGTGGTAAATAATGGTTAGAGAGTTGTATCAGATAAGAATGAAAATATAGAAGAGCATTAGATTGTGGAATATCTAATATTAGGCTAAGGAGCTCAGAAATAATTCTGAGTTCAAATCCAATCTCAGATGCTTACTAGCTGTGTGACCTTGGGCACTAAGTCAATTAACCTTTGTTTAGTTTCTTCAACCTCAAAATGGGGGTAATAATAGCACTTATTTCTAAGGATTTTCATGAGAATCAAATGACATAACATTTTTAAAGTACTTTGCACAGTGCCAGTCATATGGTAAGTACTACACTAAATAAATACTATTATTATTATTGATTAATTAATGATTTTGAACAGAGAAATGGGATAAGAAGTTCTAGGCATAATGAGAATAATGTGCAAGTAATGCGAAGGATGGAATTGAGAAAACTAATTAGATGGTAATAATTGTCCAGGCAGGGGAGGAGAGGTTAGCACTCAATGGAAGTATACTCTAAAATGGCATGGCTTGCGTCAAGGAAGGAAAACTATTATCCCTTTCTCTTTAACATTCCAAAACCCCACAAGTGCTTTAAAAAGTATAATGTTCTTTTCATACATCATCTCATTTGGTCCTTACAACAACTCTGTGAGATAAGCATAATAAGGAATATCACCCTCCAAGGAAAATCAGGGTCAGGGAAGTTAAGTGATTTGCCCAAAGTTCCCTCATATAATGTCAGAAATGGGATTTTGACCAAGGGATCTTGACTCCAAATCCACCAATCTCTCCTATATCAAGAATAGGAAAGGAGAGAACATGGATGTGAGAGGAATTGCATAGATAGCATCAGTAAGGCTTAGTGATAACTGCATGGGGATAGAGGTAGAGGTATAAAGAAGTTAAAGATAGCACCAGGGTTTCACTATGGGAGACTGAATGACTGGTGGCACTGTTACTGCCAAGGAAGTCAGGAGGAGCAAGTCTGGGAGGGCAAAAAAAGATCAGCTTAGTTTTGGACATTTGGAGTTCAGGTGCCAATGAAGCTACAAATAAAAATGCCCAGTAGTTGGAAATACAGGCCTGAAATAAGGATGTATGGTTCATATATAAGAGACTATAGTCAAAGCCATGGGACTATGTTAAGATTGATAAGGAAGAGAATATAGAAGGAAGAAGAGGAAAGAAGCTTGGGAGACACCCACCTTGAAGGATTAGGTTGAAGAACAAATGATAAAATATAAAATAAACTTCCACAGAAAAACAAGAAACGTAAGTAAACTTTCTCACTTCAGGGTCGATTTTCCCATGTTTCCCATAGGGTAATGAAACCTGTAGCAAATGCTGAATCTCAGTGATGTTTGTACCCAAAAGCTTAATGTTTTGAATTGTTTGAAAGATATGCAACCTTTTAGTTGCATTAAAGTAAATTTTTGCTCAGCATAAAAATTCTCTAAAGATGGAAGAGGTAGCTCTTATTGAGGCACTGGTAATTGTTCTTCTCTAATGAGATTTAGTTACCCAGTAGCAAAGAGCCACTCTCAGAGCTTCCTGAGATGATAAATTTTCTGCAGAGATGTAATAAAATCCAGTAGGGATGGGGGTATCTTTCAGTCTCTCCAAAGAAAAATTTACCTTTTCTTGGTCTAATGTTTGAGATTAGCAGAGGCTCTTGATTATTTTCAATCGAGACTACCTCAGCCAGTATTTATTTTTCTTTGCCTTCTGAATGGTGACCCTGAACATGTACAAAAATGTGTCACTTGGGGAAGATTTCATTTGTAGGCTGTAACTAACTATATTAAATATGTCAAGAATATGTTGTAGCAAAGTAGGTTAAGATAAAAAACAGACTTAGTTGTATGAAGTTCATTTCAAAAAGCATTTATTAAGTGACTACTATGTGATAAAAGCTAAGGTGGATATGAAGATAAATGAAGCATGGGTCCTGCTCTCATGGAGCTTGTAATTTACTTAGGGAGATAAGATGCAAAAAAAAGATAATAATTTGTGTTCTTTCTTCCTTAAAATGTATTAATGGTATGCAACTTTACTAAAAATAAAATTTTGAAATTTTTTGAAATTTTAAATTAGGTTAGTTGTTGAGGGAGAAGAAAAACTGTTATTTTGGGGTCATCATTTTTTAGTAATAATGGATAAATTCTGAATCCAAACTGAATGTCAAAGATACACAACACACTGTGAAATAACTAAAACTATTACACAAACCTTACAGAATTTCCACACTTCCCCTCCAAAATGATCAATTCCTTATAGCACTGAGTGGTAAAAATTAGTTAGCTGACTAAATAATACAATACTTTGACTCAAGTGATTACTTTTTAAGGAGGCAGATAGGTGGCTCAGTAGATAGAGCACTTGGTCTGGAGTCAGGAAGACCTGAGTTCAAATCCAGCCTTAGACACTTAGTAGCTGTGCGACCCTGGACAAATCACTTAACCTCTGCTTTAAGCTACTGGAGAAGGAAATGGCAAACCATTCCAGTATCTTTGCCAAGAAAACCCCAAGGATAGTATGGTCCACAGGCACATGAAGAATTGGATGTGATTGAATGACTTAACACACTAATTTTTACCTGCTCGTTGCTGTAAGGAATTGATAATTTTTTTTGGGGGGGAGGGAGTAAAGGAGGGTAGGGATATGCAGAAATTGTGTAAGTAAGATACTTTATAACAAAGACAAAGGTAGCAGAATGCAAATATTCAGCTATGCGTTCTTCCTTGCTTTTCTTAGGCTTGTTTTAGGCTCAAGTCAGAAACATAGTGTACCAACAGCTGTTTAACTTTTTACAAGTTTGCTAGTATAT